TTGATTTACAACTATGTTTTTTTTCCATTATTACTTATTTTACTTGTTTAAAGTTCAAAAAATTGATGGATTTAACTTCCCACGTTTTCTTCTTGCATTATGTGGTACCAAATCAAAGTTCGAGGATGGCAAGAGATTGCGATCACTGGTTGTGAAGGTCTTAACCGTAGGGATGCCAAACTGATCTAACTGCACAAAGAAATCAACAACTTCATGGAGAGGGTTACATAGGTATTACTGTGCAAGCAAGACTTGCAACAATGCACCCAAACTAAAGAGGAATTTGTGGTGATAGATCCAAATCGTGGCTTTTTATGTAGAATGGTACGAACTAGAGTCCGACGCAAAAAAGAACCGGAATGATAATGGTGCACTCAACCACCTATTCTACGCACATGGTCCACATTGGGAGCCTCATGCTCAAGAGAATAGATCATAGCATTTAGTTGATTTACATGATTCAAACGAGAGATTGATTTTGGTGTATCACGAATCAACAAGTTGTAGATTGGAATCTACCATTAAATTTTGATACATAGTTAGATGATGAACTAGAACTTGTAAGAGATCCAATCTATGATGATGATCAAGATTATGTAGGTGAACCGATTTTTTAGAAAGAAAAAGATAAATATCTTAAGTATATCAAAGAGGTAAAGCATTAAGGAGATTTTGGGCAAAGGAATCAAAGTAGCGCAGTGGAAGTATGGTTGACTCATAGTATGCAAATTGTAGCCCTGGTTTCATAGAGTAATAAAATAGATGTTTAGAAACCTCTAGAGTACAAAAAATTGGATTTGAAGTTTCACGCACGATTTTCAATGTGAGCTCAAAAAAAATGACTGAATTTAATAAATTTATATCGATTTCTCAATATACAAATCAAGATCCATTTCTTCTAGAATTGTTACCACCACAAATAGTATTTGAGCCAACAAAGAAGAGCAAGGTTGAAATATGCAATTTTGATGTTGAATTCATCCTAGCACACTTTAAAATTGGAGGACGAATTTTCTCCAACTAAAGAAGAACTATGAAGGGCAAGTTACCTTTATGTTAAACTTCTATTCAACTTTAAAAAATGTATATTTTTATTTTAGTTTTAAAATTTATTTTTAGGCTTTTAAAATTTATTTTTAAGATTTTAAGTTTTTCTTATAATTTTACGGTTTTTTTATATGTTTTTTATATTTACTATCCATGAATACAATTTATGGTAAACTTAACATGTTATTATTCATGTGATATTGTCCACAAGGGTACTTTTAAAATTTTAAAACTATTTTAATCTTAAAACTGTACCTAGATCTCAAGTTAAATTAGAGTTTTAAAAGCTTATAAAAGGTTGAATGTCATATTTTTAAAGGCATATGTTATGAGAATAGATTTCATTTTACAAAAGAAGAAATTCGTTCTCTCAACTAGATTTAATGTCACAGCCTTTAACCATTATTACTGATTTTACTTGTTTAAATATTAAATAAAAAAAAAATAACATAACTTCTTACCTTTCCTTCCTATATCAATCATCATCATCAACCGAAAGAGTGTTGGCAAGAGAGAGGATACGAAAACGTTGGAAGTCATGACAAAAACCAATTGGACCCTTTTCTAGTACATTATTATTAACTTGTACGGAATGTTTTGAATGCTGGGAGCGCTAGATTTTACAACTTTGCAATATGCTGAATTTTAACTTCGTATTTCAAGAAAATACTTGAATTGCTATTAGATGTAAAATTATGTTTCACTTTTTACTTGACTTATATGACTAATGGATATAAAATTTTGAGCAATCTGATAGTCTTAGTTACTAAACATGTAAATTTTAGTAAATAGGTAAATATGTTGAAATATGAACCCCCCTAGCCCCCTCTTCCGAAAACCCCTTTTATTATACAACAACAATTCAATAAACACCGTCACAAAAGCGTAACTCGCAATCATGCCATCACAACAAAAAACACTATAAATTTATTGTGATGCTAAAAAAACACAAAGATCATAGTCAACGATTTAATACTCCATCCAATTTATACATCACACAAGCATGATACCGACAAAAATACAAGATTAAAATGAATATATGCCACACCAATTACTAAAGGTCCACCGAATACATCATACAAATTGAAAACAGAAAGCCCTTCAAAATTAGTTTTACGATTGTTCCAATTGCACATGCAACTGGCGAACATAACAAAGATAACAAGAATCAAATATTGTGGAAGATGTAATGTGATCTACCAAAGAAGTCACGCTCATTAAAGAATATATTTAAAACCATACACGCTAATTACATATTCATGTCAATTGAAAAAAAATAAAAAGAAACAAAATTTTTAAGACAATAAATCAAAAATACTGACGTCAAACAGTGTTTCAAAAAGCGCTAAGCGACACCTAGGTAGCCATGGGGGTCCAGGCCGGCCAGCACCAAGGCAACACCCAGAACCTGGGCGGCCCAGTTGAAAGAAAAAAAAACAGAAGTCGAGAAGAGATGATTATAATCCTTATTTTTATACAATGCTAAAACAGTAAACTTACCCAAGCATACACTGATAGTCTGATACTCACAAAAGTTAAAAAGTAGAAAATATAAAGTAGAAACTATAAATGAAAAAGAAAATATACTGAAATTCAGAAAATATAAAAATAGGATAAGCATCATCATATGCATCAAATTCGAGGCCATCATCATCAGAGTCATCTCCTTTTTCAATATAACGCTCGTCCTCCTCTCTTTTTTCTGAATCTAGATCTTCCTCTTCCACCCGCTTACTATGTGCAAATGAAGCCCTACGAGCTTTGGCTGCTCTACCCTTTTCAATCTTTTTCTGCTTCCCCAAACTCAAATAATATATAATCTCCTCCCTAGTAGCCTCAGGAACACTTTTACAAGGGATAACATCCCCCCCAATACGGACAATGCGTTTTTTGAACCAGTAAATACCCTCATTAGCATCATTTCAAATATTAGTACATTTAATGCGATTTTTGTCATTTAGATTCGGGTAATAACTATACTTCCAAACCGGAATCCCACTTCTAGAAGAACCTGGAAAAAATATTTCCATAGAACAAAACTCATTTTCAACCTTTTCAAATTTTTAAATTCAAAAATTGTCTAATATCATCCCGAAAGCTTTAGAAACATTTTTATAAGAACCAGCATTTTCTTTAATACTTGCAAGATGTTTCTTAAATCAATTAATACCCCATTTGTATCATTTTCACAAAAATTACGTCTAATACAATTGTTATCGTTTGGTTCTAAGTTATGACCATACTTTCAACCCAATCACATCTTCAAGAAAAACCACAAATAAATCTACCACAATGACAGATTTTGTTCCTGTTTTTGTTTATAGAACTCATATATTACATTATCTCCTCCCTAATAGTTTCAATAACATTTTAACAAGAACCAGCATCCCCTTTAATACCGAAAAGATGTTTATTAAAACAATTTACATCTTGTTTGTACCTTTTTCACAATAATTGCATCTTATGCAATTTTTGTCATTTAGATTCGAGTTATTCATATTTCCAACCAGGATCTCCACTCCGACTAAATCCTTAAAACGACATTTCAAAATAAAACAAACAATCTAAAAAAAATAACTTTGCACTTAGTTTGATTACTCGAACTCTAAAATCCCACCTCTAAGATGTTTTCTTGTGCTAAAATATTAAAAAACACACTGAATTAAAAACTCTGAAACTAAATCTAATCTACCTAAAGATGTTTAGATCCACTTCTGTAACTTTAAAAAACACTTCGACCCAATGAAAATCACACTAACTTTTTTGAAGTTTCTCTCTCTAAAATGGATCAGTTATTGTAGGCTTCTGTTTAATGAACCTAAAACACATCCTTAAAAACTTTTAATTCTAAAAAAAACACTAGAATAAAATAAAAACTCATTTCAACCCCTAAAAAGAGCAGGCCATGGGTGGCCGCTCAAGGCTATGCATTGAGAACTCATTTCCACCCCTAGACAAGGCACTGGCCCCGGCGGCGGCTCCAAGCTGCGCGTTGAGCACCCACCTAAGCAGGACTCACTGCCTAGGCGGCCGCCTAGGCTTGGGCACATTTGGACCGCCTAGTTTAGCCACCAACTGCAACCAAGACGGTGAGCGGACCTCTTTTTTGAACAATGATGTCAAATTTATATACGATCAAATACTTATCAGATTAAATTTTAAAAGTGTTCTAAGAATAAAATTGTAGCATTTTGTAATGAGAATTGAAACCAAAAGCATTTTGTAATGAGAATTGAAACCAAACATTCTCAAAACTAGCCTCAATTATTATAGCATCTCATATATTAACCTAAAGTCTATCAAGTCCAATATGGATTATAATGATTTTGCAAAACACTATGCATATAAGATTAAATTTTCATCATAAACCAACTAAACAAAAAAACAAACAACTTTTTATCATATAGTAACAATAAAATTATAAACTCCAAAAAAACAATTGACATTTCAAATATTAACTTTCCAATAATCAATATATTTCCAGCTGGTCAGGCAGGGCTTGGAATTAGTCGAACTTGAGTTGGGCCAACCTTGGCCCTAGTCCCTGTGGGGCCAACCCAGCCCCAGCTTAGTCAAGGCCAGTCCACACCAAGTCATAAAATCAAAATAAAAATAAAAGAAGTAAAGAAAAAGAGCTCCATAGTGGTGACCTTAGCCTTGGCCTGGCCCTACCCTCAGGCCGTGGTTGCCTGGCCCAGGATGACCGAGTTGAGCTAGGCTACCCGGCCCATTGCCACCCCTATGGTCAGGGGTAAACTGTCACGACACTAGAGCTTCAGTCATACAAAGGTACAAAAGTATTTCACTAGATCGCTCAATCAAAAACCAATTACAGAATAATAATAACAATCATAAACAAATACTGACATGAATTCAAATTATAATTAAAAGTAATTTGTAACAATGAAAGAAACCTCCAGTACAGTAGTTAAGCATCAACTTCATCATTCTACCACAAAAATTAGAAATTAATAAACAGTACGAAGTTAATAAAAAGTAATTGTCACTAAAGCCTAAGTTAAACCATATTGTAACAATAAAAAACACTCTGAATTCACTCTGACAATAAAAATGAACCACCCCAAAACTGCAGTTAAAACGATGTTGTAACAATAAAAAACACTCTGAATTCACTCTGACAATAAAAATGAACAACCCCAAAACTATAGTCAACGAATTAGAACTGTATTCAATTCATACATGACACGAGAAGGATATCAAAAACTACAAACAAAGCAATAAGATTAAGATTAATATTTCCCGCACTAATATTTGATGTTCACTGAATAGGAGAAAGACATTGGAGAAAGAGAGTCCTTCAATGATAGCCTGCACAATTGTTCAAACACGAGAGTGTTACTGCACGCATAAGAGGCCAACTTACCAAAGATAACAAGACTGAGATTTCATAGAAATTGTAGAACTTGCTCAGCCAAAAAAGTGATGCTCATTAAAGGAGATTTAAGGCCATAAACGCTAATTACAAATTCAAATCAACCTTGAGAAGAAGAAAGCTCGAACATCGAAAAGTAGACAACCACAACATTGATGTGAAAATCTACCAGATACGGACATTACTTAAAGTTCTGAACTTTCAAAGCTTTTTTTGGAATACCTTAAAAGTTAACAACATTTTGTAATGAAAATTTACATCAGACCACCTTAAAATTAGGATAAAAAATTATTAATATTCGAGACATAATCCAAGATTTTCAAATCCAATTAGTATAAAAGATTTTTTAAATTAATATGTATAAAACCTAATTCTAACATCATCCTAAAACATCTACCGACTAAAAAAGCAAACCAATTGTATTGTTGAAAGGTAAAAAAAGGAATCAGTAAAAAAACTTAATTTCACTCCTACAAAGGTCGAGTGATCGACAAGGTGTCACATTGTGTCTTCCAGAGTTTCATTCCAACAAAAAACTATTACATTACATAGCTCAATCAAAAAAATAATATTTACTGACAATAATAGTTATTAACAAATAACCAATAGAAATGAAACTCCAGAACAGCAATCAAAAAACCTCCGTAACAAATAACCAACAAGTAACAAACTATAACCAATTGTAATGAAAAACCTCTGGAACAGTAGCTAAGCATCCAATCCATCCTTCAATTGCAAACATTTGGAATTAATAAATAGTTCGAAATTGATAAACAAACAAAACTTCATTGCATAGTAACTTATTCAAATATAACAGTCACGAAAGCCTAACTTACAATCATGCTGTAATAATAAAAAACACTGATTTCATTGACACAATAAAAAGAACCTCGAAAACCATAATCAACGGTTCAAAAATCCATCTAATTCATACATCCCACGAGCATGATATCAATAAATACAGACAAAGCTAGAAGATTACGACGAATATATACCATACTAACAATATCGCACGCGTAAGGAGCAAACTTACCAAAGATAACAAGAATCAAAGATTTTGTTGAAAATGTACGATGTGTTCTGCCTAAAAGGCCACGCTCATTAAAAGACATTTAAGGCCATACACGCTTGCTACGAATTCGAGTCGATCCAGAAAGCAAATAACAAGAAGAAAAAGAAAATTTCAAAGACAATGGCATTAAGGACATCGGTGTCAAAATCTAATAGACAGGGTCATTACTTAAGATCTTTAAATTTTTTAAGTTTTTCAAAAATACCTTAAAAATTGGAACATTTCATAATGCGAATTAGCACCAGACCTTAAATTGGCATCCAACAAACTCTTCCATTATACTACTATAAGGATTATGCAAAACAATAGGTATATCAGCTTAATTCAAAAACAACTTGTTAATACTAAAACTTTAAGGTAGAAATGGAAGTAGTAATTTCAAATAAAACTTTATGCATGTAGAAAACTAACTCACAAGTAACTAGTATCTAACGTCAAAGAAAATTTAAGCATGTTGAGAACTAACTCCCAACTAGTATCACGGTGGCAAGGAGCCTATTCTATAATTTCATTCCTATCAAGAGTTAAAAGTTAAAACAAATATAGAGCCCTAAGCTAAGATCTCAATCCATATGGTGGCTAATATATGAGGATTTAGAAATAAAAATTATTCTAAAATATAATTTGGTTACTTAAAAAATCAAGACATAACGGGCTTCTTAACTAATACAACGGTTGTCATGTTATATTCAAGAATACATCAAAATGAAGATTAGTTTACAATATGTGCATCATAATGGGCGATATTTTAAAGGGTAAGGTTTGTATAGAGCCGAGACCACCTTCAAATAGTGTCATAGAAATGTGGTTTTAATACTGGAAATCTTTGACTAGCCTTAAATTATATTTTCATCCTTAATCATAAAATTTAAAGCTTCAAAAATTGTATAGACCAAGCATTTCTATAAAAACTTGAATTGCTTAAAAATTGACGGTCCAAAAATGAATTACAAGATGCACTATTTTTAAAACTTGAAATTAATTTTTTTCTCAAATCCATGCATCTTGATGTTAAGATTATCAACTTGAGTACATTTGGGAATCAAAATAACCTCCTCTAATAAAATTTTTGAGGTAGGCTCTAATTTGATTGTTTAGAGCCTAGACTCTATATAAACTTTTCCGCATTTTAAAAGGATATTATAAGGGGTCCAAAGGGAAACAACAAATGGTAACCGTACGATGTTGCAAGCATGACATCTACGTACGGTCCCAAGGAGTGGGCCCCACATTTATGGTAACCTCAACCATCCATCTCAAAGACCTGCGGTTAAGAATGCACCTAGCCGCATTGTAGAGTACAGAATAGTTCAACGTTCATCCTCGAAAAACGTGAGTGAAATTCACAGCGCAGAATAACCACCCACCCATTTTCCAGCAGGCCACCCAAAATGAGACTATTCCCATTAGTATTGCCACCCATAACTTTTTAGGGGTGTCAATGGACCAAATCCGACAGGGGACCTGATTTGTGTCGGGTATGGATCAAAAAATTGCACCCGATGAGTTGGGTCCGGGTCCAAATTTTAAACACAAACACGATTTGGGTCCTAGTCAAGATGGGCCTTGAGGTCCGGATAACATTTTTTAAGTCCCAATATATGAAATATAATTAAATATGATTAAATACATAATTTAACTATAGGTTGGGGTCCGATGATTTCGGGCCGGGTCCGAGTCCATTGCCACCCCAATTAATTTTGTTGCAATAATCAGAATATTAAGTGGATTATTATTAACATGGGTGCGATAAAAATAAATGCACACAACACTTGTTAAAAATAAAAATACACTAGTACAGCCACCCACCTTTTGGGCTCCAATTCCAAAAATAACCCCACAGCAAGCATCTCAATTCTCACCTACTACTAAGAAACTATTATCCTTAAATTTATAATTCCTCTTAGGAGAGTAAAAATCGATGGACAAAGATAAATTTCAAGGTCCCACACTTCTCCTCAAATTCCTAACTGACCCATGAGAAAATCCTTAATTTTATCATCCTTTTTATGACAGAGAAAAGAGAAATGAATGTCATTCTATTATTAGTAAATTTTTCATTATAAATACCTAATGTAAAAACCAGTGTACAAAATCAAAATGAAAAGGGCATAGAAAGAGCAAGAAATCTTACACTCCGTTTGAGTTTTTCTTTGTCATCTCTCTCAAAGCATGGACGCTTAAGAGAACGACTCCTCACCGTCAGGCGGCTGTTACTTCTCCGTTTGCTTATACCCTGCATTGACCGGCCAAAGTACGTTACGCCGTTAGTCCCCCGTCAGATAATTCCTCACTTGTTTCTCTCTCTAGCACTCTCTACACTTTCTACCATTTTTCTCTCTCTAGTACTCTCTCTCTACACTTTCTTCTCCCATTTCTTTTTGTTCCAAGCTTGTTTCTCTCTCTAAAACTCATTTCATTCATTACTTGTCTCTGCTCTTTCTTCTACAATTTTTTTTTTTACTATACTTGTTTCTCTCACTACTAATTGTTTCTCTCACTACAACTTCTCTCTCTACAATTTTTTTTTGTTTTGACTGGAGGAATTTATGGGAAGATTTCTCGGAGATTTGAGCTCCATAACAACAAGGATTTTCCACACGCTCTGCATTTCCTAGCAAGCATGGTTTCTCTTTCCTAATTTTCCATGGCTTTTTCAAGAAAAACTCAGTTTTCCTTTCTCAGTTTTATATTAAATTTTTTCCTTTTCTTTGGGTACTGAAATTGTAAAGATCCATTTGTTGGGTCAAGCTTTTGGGTCTATTTCTCCGCCCCCAATCTCGTGAACTGGGGGTAATGGGGAGCGCAGAGGAAAAGGAAGCTCTCGACAATGGTGGTTTTCAGGCTTGTTGGGTCTCTTTCATGAAGAAATTTCAGCTCAAAAAAGTCTAATTTTTTGCAGGTTTAGCCCAAATGAATGAGCTCTGGTGTTTTCGAGCTTGTTGGGTCCCGTTCATGTTGAAGTTTCAGCTGAGAAAATCTCTCTGTTTCTTTTCTGCAGGTTTAGCCCGAAAGATGAGCTCTCCAGCTATCAGATCTCTCATAATTTGGTCAGGTTTCTCTAACCCTCATCCCTCTTGAGAAACACCAGAAAAAAAGAAAAAACATCTCCTTTTATTCCCCTAATTTTTTGTCGGGTGTGGCTAAAATTCGCCAACGCCATTTGGAATAGAAAGCTCCAAGCTTTAGGATCCGGAAATTTCAGAGCTTGAGATGGACAATAAAGAAGCTCAATATGGTGGGGTTTTCACACCTCTGAAACCAATTCCAACAAAAGGAAGACTGGCTTTCGGAGATCAGGTACAGAGAGAGGGCATTGGAGCACGATGGCTCAAAGACTCAAGCATAGAGGCCGGTCCGTTCAATTTCAAGTATTGCCAACAAAATGCAGCTTCTCTACAAAGTTTAGGAACAATCAGCTCAATCAGCATTCAGGAACAAATGCGAGATCAACCTGCTCAAAATAGTGAAGGGTTTTATTCAAATGTTTATGAAAACGTGGCTTCAACTATAGGTTCCGGCATCCAATTCAGAGGGGGCATTCCTCTCTTCTTTCCGGAAGCTTCTAGAAGGTTCTCAAACCTTCTGGAGACCTCTAGAAGCAGGGGCAGCTGCATGCTTCCCCATCCTGCAATGTCCAGTTCACAGACCTATGATAACCAGATGGGATTAGTAGTGGCTAACCTTCGCAGGGTGTCGAATGCCAGCAACTCTCCTCACCTTCCACCAAGTAATAGTACTCTCAATTCTACGAAATACTTGTTTTTTCAGAATAGAAATTATCAGCATGCAATTCTTCATTTGACCGTCTAAAAGCTTTCTTTCTTTCACACATGCACAGAGAAAAAACCATAGTTTATATATAGAAAAAATATTTCATGTTTAGCCATTTCTTTATTAAATTACCCTTTTTAACCGAAAAAAGAATACAGAAAGTTTGTGCTTACCATGATCTGTGTGTAGCATGCATGCATATTTCTTCGTTCCAATGAGATCCCCCCCTAAAGCATTATGCAGTAATATTTCATTTCTGAATTTTTCCTTTCCCTTTGGATCTTGCAGTTAGATTTTTTACTCAATTTCCCCAAAACATATAACATGAACAGAAGGTTTTGCATTCTATGATTTCCATCTCTATAGAAATTTACAAGCATACATATCTTCACTGAAACGATATGATCCTCCCAAAAGCATAATGCACTACTAATTCATTTTCTTAATTGTCTTTTGGAATTTCCAATTAGATTTTTTACATGTTCATGGTTTTCTGAGAAACACAAAGTAACTTGAAAATCCAACTAGATTTTTTACATGTTCATGCTTTCTGAGTAACCCAAAGTAACTTGAAAACAGGAAGTTTGCGTTTCCCCTGATATCTATGTTCAAACTTCATTTAAATGAGCTTTCCCCTCGAGTATAATGCTGCAAAACTACAATTTTGAACTCCTTTTATGGATGATAAAATTTGATTTGAAAAAGAAAATCTTTTGGAGAACAGGAGAAAAAAAATTCAACATCAAAGGTTTTCCATGAACCCTGTCCTTTTGGTGCTTAAATCTTCAAGCGTTTGATGAGATCTCAAGCAACTAATCAAGTAGTTGATTGGAACTTTTATTCCGTGCCTTTCTCCTTTTTTTTCTTTAACAAATTAAAGCATGTTCTTTAGGAAAAAGGTCAAAAAGATGCATGCATGCAACCCTATTATCAATGGAAGTTAAAATTATAGCTATGCAGGTGGGTTCCCTGTTCCTTACAATCATTTGTACGACCACAAGTTGCCATGTAAACCAGTAGCAAACATGAGTTCAACTCAGGATAATGCTTCTCCTCTAGCACCAGTAACACCAGATAAGAGTAACATGGAAGAAAGGATCAGAAACAACCAATCTCCATTTCCTACTGATTTCCATTTAGAGAGAAATTTACAGCCCAGAGTCCATCCAATAACCCCATTGGAAAACACTCCACTACAGCATAGTGTCTTGCTGGAAACATCGCCACAAAATACACCAGAGCCCTGGGACTTGTCAGGAATTTTGCTGCAAAAGACATCACAACCAATGCTCTTTCCTGAAAATTCACCAGGAAATATTCCACAACCTAGAATCTGCCTGGAAAGTACTACACAGCCTAGAATCTGGCCAGAAAGTACTCCACAGCCTAGGGGCTCACTGGAAAATGAAACCGGAGATATATGTCTCAACCAAGTTGGCTTTAATCTAGAGGATTCTTCCCAAGAGAAAGAACACCAGAATGTGGAAAAGAGTGAAGCTCATGGCATAGACCTGAACAAAACACCTGCTCAAAAACCAAGGAGGAAAAAGATTAGGCCCAAAGTGATTCGAGAAGACAAGCCCAAAAGATCCCCCAAGACTGCAACCCAGAAAGAAAAAGTACACCGAACACCAAATACTGCAAGTCCAAAAGAAAATGGATCAGTTAGGAAGAGAACTCCAGGAAGAACTCCCAAGGCTCTGATGACCCGCCCAGAAGCCATAACCAGCCCTGCTACTATGGCCCCCAATTTTGGCGCCACTGCAGGTATGGCCGCCAGTGTTGGTGTCACTGCTAATTTAGCAACCAAATTTAGTGGTGCTTCTAGTTCAACTGCCAAAGTTGGTGATGCCACTGGTTTTGCCACCAAAATTGGCACCATTTCATGTAGGCGGGTTTTAAACTTTGACGCTGAAATCTACCATAAAGACGGGGCCCTGGAAAAAGTTGCAATGCCCCAAGAGAAACTACAGTCCGGGGGGGAAAGATCTGAACCAATTATACAAATTCAAGATGGACATTCAAGTGTGGAGAAACCAAGAGTGGAAAAGCCATTCGATCTGAACCACACATTACCCCAAATGCCAGACAGCTACCAACCACTGCCAAATCCAGCTGTGAGTAGCTCATTAAATCTACCAAATCCAGAGTTGCAGTCTTCATTGAAGAGAAAGATGAATGCAAAGGACCATGCTCGGAAGAGAAAACAAGTGAAAACTCCTCAAAGATTGCATGGGAAAGCACAAGAAACAAACCATTGTCCCGAGAAGCAGCAATTTCCAGCACAAGGAGCCATGCCCCAAATGCAGAGGCAGCCAACCACCCCAGATATGTTTAATCAAAATCTTCAGTTCAGGGAATCATACATGGGCATGGTTCAGCAATACAGTCTATTCAATGAAAGCAGCAAAAGATACAGAGTGTTTCTTCCACGTTTGCAAGTCAACAAGATCCAGAGGAACTTGGAGCCTACACATATTGAGAATTCCTCTGTTTCAACCGCAAAAGAGGGAGAAACCTTGCAGAGTTCTGCTATAAGGGAATCCAATGCCAATAAAAACCTAAGAAACAGCACAATCTTTGCACTACAAAGCACGAACAGAGAGCACCCAGGTGAAAGCTGGGTCTCTGATAAAAGTTCTGGTGATCCCTCCTCAAGTAGTGCTACAACCAGGCATGGTGCCCCGGACAATGGTGTTACAAGAGAAAATCTAACCAAAGAAGCACTGTCAAACAATGTAAATGGAGAAAGCATGGCCATTTTCGATCTCAATGCCCATAATGATATGATGGCACCAGCTACCCATGTGGAAGAAAAGGCAAAGGATGAAAGTAAGAGAGACTCAGATCTAGTCAATGGCTTGGACCCCTATCAATTGGCTAAGAAGTACAATTTCAAATTGATATCAGAACCTGCTTCTAGTACAGTTGAGCAAGCACCAGCTCCTGTTACAAAGAGGAAGAGACGTGCAAAGAAGGAACCTCACCTTATTGAAACTATGTCTTCCCCCAACCAAGGAGCCTCAGAGTGTTATAAGATTAATGCTTGTGAAGATCAAAGTTCCTCCATGAAATCTCATTTATATTCTCCCATGCCACAAAAAGATGGCATCTTGAGTGCAGCTCCATTCCAGAATCCTCAACCAGGAGGGTGGCATATTCTTCCAAACAAGTACATTACCGATAGCCAAAGTAGCAGCAATTTACAAAAGGGGCCAAAAGCAAAAGAGGCAATCTTAGACCCTATGGGTATAATTGTCCAAAAGATGAACGCTCTTGCGATTGTTGATAAGAGCATAGAAACCCCAAACGATCGAGAACACAATCAGCTGGTGCCTTACATTGGTGCAGGTGTAGTGATACCATATGAAGCTCCAAAGAGGCGCTTGAGGGCCAAAGTCGATCTTGATGAGGAAACGACTAGGGTTTGGAAGCTTTTGCTGGAAAATGACACAGATGGTCTAGATGGAGCGGAGAAGGACAAGGAGAAATGGTGGCAAGAGGAACGTCGAGTATTCTGTGGTCGGGCAGACTCGTTTATAGCACGCATGCATCTGGTGCAAGGTACTCCTGTGCTCCTGAGGATGTTTTTCCTTAACCTTCCATTGTTATTGTACGTTATGTATGCAGTAAATGGTAGCTAAAGCATCTCGTCTTTCGAAAATTATAAAGTCAATTTTCACAATCCTTATTGCACGGCCTAAGTGTTTTAAGTACAGGATTCATCTTTATTCGCTGATCTCTTGAGTGTCATGAGCAATATGCACAAGTTTTACAAAGACTTTGATGCAATCAACTCTCAAGTTTAAGCGACATCTATATAACTAACAAACAGTGTGTGAATTTTGACACTCCTCTCCATTATTATTATTTCATCATCATTGTCATCGACACTCCTCTCCATTATTATTACTCCATCATCATCGTCATTATTCTTACTTCCATCAATTTTCGTAAAATCTCTTGCTAAGAGGATGACTTAGTGTAGAACTCATAGATCATATCTCCTTGCAACCCATCCATCAAATCTCTTTCTCTAAGCACATTCTAAGTCCATCTCTATCCCAACTTCAAACAATTCCTAAATTCTCTCCCAAAAGTGTAGGGAACCCAGGACTCCCACCTCATGTATTTCCTAAAAGTACAGAACTCTAATGTAAAATTGGCATTCGTAATTTTATGACAAAGAATATCTGTTACTTAAAATATAAAAAATTCTGGTATTGATATATCCTGCAAAAAGGAAATTTTTGTAATAGCTAAAAAAATGAATTGTTTTATCATTATAGTAAATTAGTTAAGAACAAAATGGGAAAAAAATTGCAATTAAAATGTGAGTATTAAGTAAATAGGAAAAAGAAAGACTCATCTCATGTCTTATCAAAAACTTGAGGAAAATTGGAGGGAAAGGAGATGATAGTAAGAAATTCGATAATCACTCCTATATATTCTCCTATAGTATAATAAAGATTGCCATGAATTGTTTTTAAGCAAAGAATATTCTTAATTTAAAATTTAAACAATATCAAGTATTAGATGTCATAAACAGGATATTATTTACCAAAAGATGAATGTCTACTCAATCACACGTTGGGGTCATAAGAATTTATTTCACCATATTTTTAGTTTACAACAGCTAGTAGCAACATTTGATATTTATAACATTGCTTTCAGGTAAATGATTTTCAAATAAAGGGCAGTGGATTTGACTTTTTTCAAAAGCTAATACTGAAACAATCACACTATTTTGCAGGAGACAGGCGCTTCTCCAAGTGGAAAGGATCTGTTGTGGACTCAGTAATTGGAGTATTTCTAACCCAGAATGTGTCTGACCATCTATCAAGGTAAATGGATGTTTTTTTGCCATGAAACTTCACCTCAAAATTGATTAGAGAAACTAATCCTCTTTATCTTGTCATAATTCCCCAGCTCTGCATTTATGGCACTTGCTGCAAAGTTTCCTCTCAAGAAAGAAAACAAGAATACAATGGCTCACCCAGATCTAATGAAGATGTCTTCTCAAGAACCAGAAATTGTCATCCTGGAAGTGGATGAAACAATCCAATGGCAGAGAGATTTGTCAGGCACACAAATCCCCAGCGAAAGTCCTATGGTCCCTCCTGACAATGAATGCAGACCAGAGCTTACAAAGGAAATAACACAGTGTAATGAATCATATGGGAGTAATATCATGGATGAAAAAGAAAGCACATTACAAGGTACGCACCTACCGGAGCAAAAAATAAGGCAGTTATCATACGGAGAAGTACTTGAGCATCAGATACAAATCCCAACGACAGCAAAGGCCAAAATGAGTTTGGCGGAAGCTGAAAGTAGCGAATTGATGCCAAACATTGTTCCTGATTTAAATTCGTCTCAATATTCCACTTCTACAGCCCAGACTTTTGAGGCATATGGGTCAAGTTCAGGATCCACTCCTGATATAGAGGATCTTGTGACCTGTAGCAATCAGAACTACCTATATGGCTCACAATCCTTTATGGATCTTCTTAATTTGGCAGAGACAAACTACTTCAGGGACATGTACATAAGTGGTAACTTCACTGTGTCATCTAAGGAGTATATTGCAAGTGCATCAGACCACTTCGAAAGTATGTTGTATGGGAAGAAGATATCAAGCTCCCATCAGTCAGGTTATCAAAAGGTCTCAAGTTCATTATCGAATGATAGCAGCCTTGTAATCCAGACACAAGTTGAGCTGGAGAAAACATTGGATGAAGAACCTTCTAATGGTTACAATTTCATAGGTACAGAATGCGCTGAAGTGTCAGTTGGAGCAAACAAGTCTCCTTTACTTTCAGCTGATTCTGAAACTGCAGCTGAGAGTTGCACCAACTGCACAGGAAGACAAGCAGATTCCAATAAGGAAACTGCATCCGAACTCATTAATCTACAAAACGCAACTTATGGCACCCAGCCATTCCTTACAAGTGCAATGTTTGCACAAATATCTGATGACCAAATGCATTCTTCACCCTCATCCGTAACACGAAACCCCAGAAGAGATTCTAACTTTAGCAATATCTTGGAAAAGGAGAAGTGGCAAAGCACAACTCAGGGATCAAATGGCACTTCCCAAATCATTATAGATTTATTAGATGATCACGAACATAGTTTCCCAGAAAAATCAGCAAAGCAGAATCTCTTGTCTGAAAGCCCTCCAATGGCGAAAGATGCAAACCATGCTGCAACTCTCATGAATTTACAACCAGAAGGCAAGAAGATACTGGAACAATGCAGTTCAAGTTCGCTAACATGTCCTCCAGATGTAGCTGAATGCTCTAGAAAATTGGATGGCAAGATACCATTAGAAAACATTGCAGATGGCCCAAGTTCAAAGGATGAAAGTTCAAGTGTAACAAACGCAATGAGTGGAAAAATGGAAGCAAAAGAAAAGAAGGTAAGGACCCCAACAGTCAGAAAAAAGGTTTTCGACTGGGAGGCAATGAAAAAGCATATAAAGCCTTGCACTAAGGAAAGAAGTCCTGAAACACAAGATTCAGTAGACTGGGAAGCAGTGAGATGTGCTGAAGTAAATGAAATAGCTGATACCATCAGGGAAAGGGGAATGAATCACATGCTTGCAGAAAGAATAAAGGTATCATTCAACTTCCTGCCTAATCTCTGTCTTTATAATCAGTATATTAGAGTTCATTGATTCCACCAGATGCTTAATTCCCTAACGTCCTATTTCAAGGGTTCCCCAATTAATCAAGCCTGTTTAGGTCCTGTATGTATGACTAATGTTCCATAACTTGAGTATCAACTGCAGAATGAAATTAGAAATCTCACTTAGCATATACCTGACAGGAAATGGACATCTCCATCAAAAAAACTTTCATGTATGCCTATCTGGTTATTTTGTCCTCATTGCTTAGCACCGCTGTGTGCAGGATTTCCTCAACCGGCTGGTCACAGAGCATGGAAGCATCGACCTGGAGTGGTTAAGAGATGTTCCACCTGATAAAGCAAAGTAAGAGAAATCTAAAGCATCCTAACACCCCATGGGTTTATTGGAAAATTCTAATATTGATATATATTGCTTGCAGGGAATATCTCTTAAGCGTTAGAGGATTGGGACTCAAGAGTGTGGAGTGTGTCCGCCTACTAACACTTCAGAATCTAGCTTTCCCAGTAAGAATTTATTTGTAAAACTGGCTAAAATACATCGATGAATACTGTATTCACATCATCTTTTTTCTGATTCATTAGGTTGATACAAATGTTGGTCGTATATGCGTACGTCTTGGATGGGTGCCACTTCAACCGCTACCAGAGTCACTTCAGTTGCACCTTCTCGAAATGTAAGTGTAATGAACCATAAGATCTTCAAGACCATTGTATTTATTGAAGAAACAATTAATGATACTAAACATCTGATCTCTAACATGCAATATCTGAATATCCCAATTAAATCATGTTATTTTGTTTTCTCTTGTGAAGGTATCCAGTGCTGGAGTCAATTCAAAAGTACATATGGCCTCGTCTATGCAAGCTTGACCAAAGAACATTGTAAATCTACAAAACCTATTAAAACATTCAATTCATAAAACCAGTCATATGGAAATTGCACCAAATAAATAGGAAACCTAGTTTTACAGATTTGCTCTCCCAGTTACCTGCATAACCAATTTTGAATTTAGCTTATTAAAAAAAAAAAAACTACTATGAAATTGAGGAAGCTTATCCAAACACTTATTTTTTGTACAGATATGAGCTTCACTATCAAATGATTACATTTGGAAAGGTAAAGACTTAGCAAGATTAATAGTTCCTTCACTCTTGTGTTTATCTAAGATGGATATGAAATAGGCATTACAGCCAAAATGCCAAATGGAACAATTAATCCAACTGCAATGCAGGTTTTCTGTACGAAGAGCAAGCCAAATTGTAACGCATGTCCAATGAGAGGAGAATGCAAACATTTTGCCAGTGCATTTGCAAGGTAGCAGCACATCTCCACTTAGCAACTTATTTAGTTCTTTCTGGACATATCCGTACGTCACTAGCCCACACACTTGCATATAATCATGTGCTTTCTTGATAAATATAAGCATGCGTAGTTTCCAATGTATATTCATAAATCCTAGATCTGCTAGCTTACCAACACATCTACAATCAAGTAAATAGATAGGTAAATAGAGAGTTAAAGAGGTGAAAAAAACGGAGGAAAAACAAAAAAATAGATAAGCAAGTATAATACACTGGTGTATGCCCATGAATAGAAAAGAATACCATATCTAAGAGAACAAACGAATGGAAAGCTTGACCAAATGATCGCTGAACAGGAAAACACAATCACACTGTACGTGAAAGCATATAATTCAAAAGTCAAAAAATACTCCCCTTCATAAGTTTCTATGAAACAAAACCAGAGGAGATTTACCCCATTAAAATTAAAAAATTGCTGATATTTACCTTAAAAGCCAGATTGCCTTCGAGGTTGCTCTGCGAACTCCGGAGGATAACAACATGTTTATGGTTCCTGATTTGCAGCCCAAGCACTGACCCTGCTTCACAGTGAACTTATTTTCTTAAGGAATTACAGGGAAGGAAGGAGCAATTTAAGAATATAAAAAGTGCCAAGGGCAAATATCATCACGAAGAGTCAAATTCCCAAGGCCAAAAATCTTCTAGTGATCCTAACAAATTATTAAACACCACAAGGGAACTAAATATTAAGGAACAACAACCTATATGTCTGGGCAACTATTCCATGTTGATCATCTTATGGGGAATTATTCTAGTGAAAGATAAGTCCACCGTTACAAGCATTAATTATAAAAAGCAACAGTAATGTTGTCATGAAAATATTTTTAGAATGCCATAGGTCAAATTCCCAGATAGATAAGGAGTGCAACATGTCAATAAGAAAAGGCAAACCAACAAGCAGAAGTCCCATGACAAATGCATGTAATGCAACTAATTACATGTTCAGATAGCTAACACCCACTTTCCACAATTTCATGATCAAGTTTTATTATCTCGACATGCTACTCACCAGGATATAACACCAGCAAGGTGACTTCAATGCTTGTTATGTGCATACCAAACTACATTGACATGCAGCATCAAATTGTGGCCGTCACTTGGACAGAGAGTATGCATATGGTTGCACATAGCCTAAGATAGCTCACAATAGCTCATAATGTACATCGATGCCTAAGTGCATCTTCAGAAAACGTTCTGCTTTTTTATAAATGACACTCAAAACTGTTGAATGCAGTGCAAGACTTGCTCTACCAGGTCCACGAGAGAAAGGCTTAGTAGGTAGGATGAATCCATATATGACAATGAATGAGCAAAACTCACATATACATCCACTGCCCCTACCCCCACTGGAGACAATGCCACTCTCACAAGAAGGTCAGGACAGCAAAAAGTGTGAACCCATCATTGAAGAGCCAGCAACCCCAGAACCTGAATGCATAGAAAGCTCAGAAATTGACATTGAGGACTCTTTATGGGAAGATCCTGAAGAAATTCCAACAATTGATCTCAACCTCAAAGGCCTGTCACAAAATGTTCAGACTTACATGGAAGAAAACCATATGGGACTCCAAGATCCTGATATGTCAAAGGCATTGGTAGCTTTAACTCCAGAAGCTGCTTCAATTCCGATGCCAAAACTCAAGAATGTGGGCAGACTGCGTACTGAGCACCAAGTGTAAGCAAGCAAAATGAATTGCTTCTTTCACATCATTTCCCATGTTTGATCTTTATTCAAAAATCTACATTTTTCCTAAATTGCAGGTATGAACTTCCAGACAACCACCCACTTCTCCAAGATGTGAGTAAATATTACTATATTGTTTCCGTGAGCATTTGCAGTAGTTACAAATTCAAGCTTTCTTTCCAAACTAAATCATGAAAATTGCAGTTGGACCAAAGGGAGCTCGATGATCCATGCACCTATCTTCTTGCCATATGGACTCCTGGTAAGCTAATCCAGAAAAGCAGTTTCTCAACAGTTTACAAATTTATATCATAACAAAACACATGTTGAATAATAAATGTGCAAAATCTATAATTATGTTTTTCATTGATGATCTAATTGTCATATGATACTCCCTCCTCCCAGGTGAAACAGCAGATTCAATTGAATCTCCAGAAATGTGCTGCAACTCCCAAGCATCTGGCAAATTATGTGAGAAAGAGACATGCTTCGCTTGTAACAGCATACGAGAAGCTAATTCCCAAACAGTACGAGGAACATTACTGGTGAGAAGAATAATATCTTTAAACAAATATTTTCATGTTTCAACATTCTTGTTAATTTGCCTATTATGGATAGGTCATCATTGATCAATATGAATCAATTGCAAACCAACAGAACAATGTTTGAAACATCTTTCTGTGAACAGATCCCATCGCGAACGGCAATGAGAGGGAGTTTTCCACTCAATGGTACCTATTTTCAAGTCAATGAGGTACTATCAAATTTCAAAGTTTTCCATATCCTATTACATCAACAAAAAGAAAAAAGAACAATAAAAGGTCTCCATATCCTCAACTAACAAATAAATAACATGCTCACATATTGTAGGAGGTTGATAATATCCTCGCACTGCACCTTACACAAATATCAATATGCCGAAATGGACGGCAAATGGGACGAAATTAGATTTCAACTTTTAGAAGTAATTGGGCCAAAGTATAGTTAATTGAACACTGCACACCTATGCTTATGTTTTTTTATTTAGCTTCATATTTATATTCTGCTTCTAGTGAGCATGGAATAGAATCAACAATGAAATGTTCTTAAAACCGCATAACAAGTCCAAATTGCCAGGTATTTGCTGACCACGAGTCCAGCTTGAACCCAATTGCGGTTCCTAGATCATGGATATGGAATCTTCCCAGACGAACTGTTTACTTTGGAACATCCATCCCAACAATATTTAGAGGTAATTATGACAGTACTGAATCGTGGCTTATCATAAAGGAGACAGGGTTTTTAGTTAAGAGACCGACAGAAACCTGACTAATCGATCTACTCCTGGTTCATTTGAAATAGGTCTTACCCTACAGGAAATTCAGTATTGCTTCTGGAGAGGTAAGAAACAGTTACCCCTTGTAATTCTTTGCCCTTTCAATACTTAAGGAATATCAAGACATCCCCATCTATACACACACATGCACGTACGCATCTTCTAGATTAGAGTTTTAGCCACATAAATGAATAAGTGGATATAATTTTAACTTACAAGACAAAGATCTATGTGATTACAGACATTTTTAAAAATAGACCAAAATGCATGTACTTAGATGGATATTAGATATATACACAGAGATATGAAGAAAGCAAATTTAATGTGCATGTAACCGATAACCATACACACACATGCAGTTACCATTAACCTTTACAGGGTATGATCCATTTTGTTACCCTTTAACATTTAAAGATTCTGGTTATACCACATTCTGTAATAGATCACCTTTGGGTGGTAGAATTTTACATAATTCCAAAAATACATTTTTAAATATTTTAGTGAACTTTACCATCCATCACAACACAATCGAAGAAACCTTCTGGCACAGAAAAAAAGCAAAATTAAAAGATAACCTCAAGGCAACAAATGAGCCCAATCCCCCAACTTTCTGCCCCTCCAGAGTCATGGGAACCATCCGCCATGAACAGAACAACAAGACCCAGTAATGTGCCCATCCCAACATGCCCCCTATAACCAAGGACTTGAAGATCCTACAGGGACTACAATGCATTGAGGAACATTTCAAACAACCTGCTTCTAGGTCTAGGTCTACACGCCTTCTTAAGCACCATTCTGTTGTACTATTGCACTAGGTCATCCACTATTCCATGGAACTCTTAGTTATGAGGCCCATGAGATTACAACTACTATCGGATCCTTGCTCTGCTCTTTCGTAGCCTATATATTATTCATGAAGGTTACATTATCCATTTTCTTAATTCCTAAGGAGATACATACAAGACATTCTTCTCGACTACCCAACCTCTTTGCAAAGGACACTATTGATAGCTCATACCAGATAATCCCATCCTCAATGTTACTGATCTCAGACCAAATAGATCTAGACAAAGGCCTTTTGATCTTTATAGAAGCAATGTAATAACAGGCCATCACTGTCACCTTATCCTCAATGCAAGTGAAATCACATATCCGGAAGCATGATGGCCCATGTCTGGAGACAATTGCATGATGGAATGTTCTCCTGTACAGCGAACCAACTATAAGCAAGTCCTTAAGTCCGAGACATGCTAAGAAATCCATGATGCCCCAGCACAATTGCGAAATAGTGTCCCAAAGGACCTGATTGAGAACAGAGAACTACTATTACGGATGCGTATCAGCTCCAATCCAAGGGACATACATTTAGACAACAGAGCAACATGCTCAAAATCATGTGTTTCGTTGTCCTTGAGGTTCCTCCTAAAACCCTCACGCTACTCTGCCAACCCACATTCCCCTCACAAAGTCCATGATCAACGTACCATAACTAGAACTTCGGGAAACAAGACAAGGAACTGACGTCAACCTGGAAAAGCTTAACATACAAATCCCAACATCTACCTTAGATCCCCAACAACATATCCATGGTAAAATGGTGCTGGCTACCCCCACTAACACTGGACCATGCGACATAGGATTGCAAACCGCTTTCTAATCCCCCATTACTGCCTTTCTACAAAAAATAGTCCTAAATACAATTTATATTCTCTAATGACCCCAACGAACATAGAATAGTTCAGAAAACATCCAACATAAAGGGATGAATAGAAAATCACTTAATAGGGGTTACCCTATCAGCATACAAGAAAAGGTAGCCTTTCCAGACAGCAAGCCCACAACTTCATATTCTCTTTCGCAAGGTATCAAGGGCACTTGTCTGGATTGCTAATGGATCTCGAGTTGTACAATGAAGATGTGTGCAATTTACTGTGCCAACAAGGGAAGTGGGGTCCTCCAACTGATATCCCACCACCAATAGCTCAGTTACCATACAAGCCGATCCTCAAATAGAAAGCCACCTCATAGCACCTGAGAACCATTATCAGGTTCAATGATTCATCAAGATTGCATAAAACAGACCCAAACTGTCACTCCTTAATAATTACAAGGATATCACTTTCTTACCATTGATAGCACCATCCCTCTACCAGCCCCACATCAATCATGAGAGCACAGACAACTGAAAGCTTCAAACAGTCTCGAAGAAATGCCAAAGAAACACCACCTTGGTCTAGTCCTATTTCTCTCTCTCCACAACTACATATTTGCAACTACCAATTTGATACACAAAAACATACAAAATAAAAATAAAAAAGTACAACCATGTAAATGTAGTTACGTTACAGTAGTTGCTAAAGGAGTATTTCATAGTGTTCACCTTCACAATAGAAATTATTTGCATTTAGGAAATTTCCAATACATATATGCACAAGTATGACTTACAAGTGAAGAAAGAGATCTATCAGGACTTTGGGTTAACAAACGCTCCTCTTCTGGTTAAGACACTTTTATTTCTCAAAATTTACAAAGCAAGTTTTTTTTATAAGCCGAAGTAATTTTCTCGTAATTCTGCTTGTAGCAATTTACTAAGTTGAAGTGTTGAACAAAGTACCTACTGTATGGTGTCAAATGCTAGCTGGAAAGGATTTAACTAGACTCCACATATGACTTGCTTTATGTGAAATTACCATGTACGACTTGGAAAGGTAGCACTCAAGGCAACCTACATTCAACAAGAGTAGCACTTATGTGTGCATAAGCAACAAAATAACATGATTTTGATTGTGGTGAGCATGATCATTTCCAGGAATGTATTGGTAATTTATCGATCCAAAGGTGCTCACCAAATTACTATTTAGAGGTATTGTGGTAATACTCAATTAGTACTTAGTCTTTTAATGTTAAGAGAGAGTTTTTCGAAATAACATGTCCAAATATTAGAGTACAATAATCTTGACTGGTCTGACCCCATCAATTTTCAATCTATTTACCCATGGGCATATAGGGGAAAGCCAACACTAGCTAGGAGTTCGCTTTCTAATTAAGAAAATCGACAAGTGGTCGATGGTCCTAATTGATCAAGACTGGATTAGGAAGTTATAGGGGAGTACCAGATGTGCCTAGACTTTGTTGGGAATCCATGATAGATAGGTTGCAGGCTTGAAGCAAAGAAAAAAGGGGGAAAAGGGCACTTCTCCAATATGCAAACAAGTTTTTATTTACTATAAGTGGGATGCCCAATCTACAATGTAATGGTACACATAGAGAGGTTTGTCACAACCAAAACTTCTAGAATTGAGATTTTACTACAGGCTCCTTTGCATATTGTCTGCAGTTCCTTCCCTTCTAAGGCTTCACAGCTTCTCCTAGTTGAATATAATTCGTATGGAATAAAGAACTGCCAGTAACACTTTTTCCTTGACCTTCTATGACTATTTATCTTCATCCAAACTAGGTAATCCCATTTTGAACTTTGTCCGACAGTACTCTAATCTAAGTTAATCAAAGCATTCAAAACCAATGCAATATAGCAAAAAATTTCCATAATATTAAACAAAAATATAGTATCAGATAGCTTTAAATTTTCACATCTTTTCCACCAATGTGACATATGAAAGTTGGAAATGGCCACAAACTTTCCATAAAATAGTCTGCTAGGATCACACACAAATACATAATGGAGAGGAATGGAGGTGACGAATCAATAGGATGATTTATGCTTTATTTGTGTAAAAATTCTAAAGCTGGTGGCTTCCATTGCAGGATTTGTATGCGTACGGGGATTTGACCAACAATCCCGTGCGCCACGCCCCCTATTAAGCAGGTTACACTATCCGGCAAGCAGGCTAACCCAAAACAAGAATGGACCCAAAAAGGAGGTCTCAGCAAACTCAAGCACAAATCCAGTGAAGTCCTAACCGCGTGTTGATTCAAATGCAAACAAACTGACCAACAAAAAGCATTTTATTCAAGGTTGGCTCAATCAGATGCCTCCACCATATGTTGAATGGGAACTAGAACGCAGCAGTAGTGTAGGAACCCATGGAGTACGTGGGTTTGTAAATGATTCTCATTGTTTAATTGCACATGCTCAGAATCGAGCCATTCTTCTAATGTCAGTTCATCAGAGGTAAGTCAAGAAATTGCACGGGAACACCAAAAGTTCTCACGTGCGTTGATGTTTAACAATTTAGGGCTGATTGAGAAGGGCACATGTGCTCATAGGAAGCTCCAGTTGTACACAAATGAGAAATTGAACTTCAATAAAAATCCATCGCAATATAAGGATGTGCTACGTACATTTTTTCAAATTTCATGGCTAGATCTCTTTATTTCCAGAATGTCATATCCAACAGCCATGCGACTATTCATATGCCCTGTGATAATAGCCAGTTCCGTATCAAATGCTTTCAATTATTCAAAATGAGCAAAGGGAAAGCAATACAAAGATCAATGGTTCCAAAACCAAAAACCTTGGACTAACAAAAAGTAGCCCAGCACAAAGGAGCAATTAAAGTTCCCACTTAAAAGATTCCAAGCCCAGATGTGATTTTTCTTTTTGTTAAGTTATTAAACACCTAGATCAATCTACAGCTCTAGAACAGGAATGGGTTGGTCAATCAGAGCCTCAACTGAAAATAAGACTGCAAAATGTTTGCTTTAATACAGAACTCAGAGCACAAGCATGGGAATGTTAACATGGGCGATATACGAGCAAAGCAAAAATAACCAGCCAAGAGAGCTACGGGCAACCATCAACTGTCCTGAAAAGGCTCCGGAAGAAAGCATGATCAAGAGCATATGTTCTCGTGTTCTTGTCAAGCACTTCTGTGTGCATGATTATGCACACACAAGGAACTGAAACCTCCCAAGAAAAGCTCATTGTTTCATTAACATGTGGTTCCTGTGACTTTAACATTTTAGCAATCTCAATTGGATTTAAGAATCGTGCCAGCAAAATGGCCCAGCTTCCCCAATTTAAATGGAGAAAAATCATGGCTGGATTCCGCTGTGTTCTCTTTTTTATTTTTTTTCCACAAGGCCTTCCTCCTAATATTTACATTATTATTATTTATACACATATTTGGCAATCTACATGTAATTCATAACTCAAATGTCTTCTCCCTGCCAATAAGTGGCAATGAAACCAGAAAAACAAATATAGGTGTACTTGACTGCAAGGGATGAACACATAAGCATCAAGACATCGCTGTCTCATCCACAAACCACCAGCATTTGAAGTTCATGAATGGTGAGGGTCAGGGCCCCAGATATGTTTATTATATAATACAATGCAGTATATACATATATATGTATAAGAACCCGTACTTGATCCATCTGGACTATTTCTGCATTTCAGACCTAGACCTGGGTCAGGCTGACTCGTTTTACGACCCTTAAATCTTCTATCTGGTTTTTTATAATTTGACAAGATGCCCCAAAAGACATGACACTACTTTTTGGAATAATAAATGCATGACATTACATGTGAGAGATAAGTATGAATTCCTCTGTTTTGCTAACATGGAAGAGTAAAATATTATTCAACTTCAAAAACAATCCTGCTAAGACAACACATTCAACATTAATCAAAAATCTAAAATATAACAAAGCCCTTCAAAATAATAATAGTATTTCAAGCTCAGAAAAACTAATTAGAATTTCTATAGTACAGATTCCGGTATAAGGACTGAGGAACAATTTCTTGGATTTGTTTACAGTTCTATGAACCATTCTTTATGCCCAAGGTTGAATATGGTGCAGTAGATAAATAGTAATATCCCTATTGTCGAATAGGGACCTGTCCTAAAGTAATAAAGCCCAGGTTGAACCCAAGGTACAAGGAAAATAAAATAAAATAGAAAGTACGTAAAAGACATAGGTTTCATAATAAAAAGAAAAACCTTACACTTTGAACTCCGCGAAACAAAACACTTCCTGCATCGAAAAACTTTCAAGTGATAATGAGACCATCTATTTACAAGTATTTATAATGAGACGAAGCCAAGGAAAAGAGAAAGAAGAGTGGATACAATGACTACAGGAAACTAAGTGGAAAAGGGCAAAGCTAAAAAAAATTAATGGATATAAGCTTCACTAAATAAGAAAAATATAATAACTGAAATAGAGTAGAGATAAAAGTAGACAAAGATTTAAACGATAAAGTAGTGGATGTTAAGAGAGTAGATGATTTGCTCCTATTAATTAAATTTTCGTTACAGGAGGAGATAATTAATGCTTGTGTGCCACAGGTTAAGACTAGAGGATAGAATTAAAAGACAAGTACGGGAGGACATAGATGGGATAGTCGAGGGAATACCAAATGTAGAGGACATTTTTGAGAGGGGACTTAAATGATCATGTAGTGACGATGAGCAAAACCGAAAAAGTAGGCATGAGTATCTTCTATGGAAGAGACAAATTCTTCCTAATCTCGCTCATATTTAGAGGACGAAAAACCTCAAAGGGATTCCATGAAGAACAACAAAAGCTAGAAATATTTCAAATAGTTTTTTTAGTTGCTTTGGGGCTATTTCAAATATTATTTTTACTTTTTCATTGTTAGAAACTTTCTAGATATTTTAATTAAAGTTAGGGGGGAGTTTAATTTCAAGGTATACTTAAGTTAGGACCCTTTGGCCAAAAGTTTAATTGTATGGACAAATATTGTCCACAACATTAAATAGAGAACATTAAGTGGGGCGCGGATGGCTGGATAGAGATCACACACTTTTCTTAGATAAAAACAACTTCAATTGAAGAAGGAAAAGAAGCCTAAAGCTTGAGCCCTAGGTGGGGTGAAAACCTAAGGGTTTTCTCAAAATTGCAAACATTTGGCTGAGATTTCTTGCTGATTTTCATTGTTTACTCAAGTTCTCTGCATCAATTTGGTATCAGAGCCCAACATTTTGTACAGATATTATTGTACAAGTGTTCGGGTGGTGTTGTAGCACTGTATGAGCGAAATTGTAGCAATGATTTTCATACCCTTGATCAACAACAAAGGTTAGATTTTCTTAAATAACGAAGCCAAGAAGTTACAATCGGGTCTAGGCTTTGCTGATTTTAGCCCCAGTTTTGTCCAATCAACCTAAATCTAGCTGACTTTAGTAGGTTTTTGTTGATCATCTGCCTAGGGGTTGTGATATCAGCAAACTCATGGTATCAAGAAGGCGCCGTGGGAGGGAAGTATCGTAGACCTGCTCAATGATCCTAGAGATGAGAGAATTGAGGAACTTGAAAGGCACATTCAGCAACAGATGGAGCAATTCGTGAGCCTGAATAATGGGCAAGACAATGATCCATCAGCTCAAGAGGGTCTCGAATAAAACCCTTTTAACGTCGCGCTCCAAGTGTGGATTCAAGTGATATGGATACTGACTGGAGACTTAGATGTGGGGTGCACTGCTCTAGGGATGTCGATTTGAAAGTGGATATAACCGATTTTGATGCCAAGCCTCGAACCCCAGGATTTTATAGATTGGTTAAATATAGTACAAGGGGTTTTTAATTATAAACAGGTGCCTCAAAATAAAAAGGTAAAAATTATTGCTATGAAATTGAAAAGGGGGGAAGGAATCAAGCTTGGGTCAAGACTGTAGAGGCTGCATTTTCATAGCACAACATCTCAAGTTCCATTCGTATAACCTTGTCAAAAAAGAAAATTGGTATAAGGGGTGCCTCGACAAGGGGGGAACAACTTAAGGCTAGAAGAGAGAAAATGGGGAAGCCCAAACTTAATAGATGGGAAAAGCTGAAAAAGAAATTGAAAGAAAAATAACAACCTGGAAATTATATGCAGACCCTCTATCATAAGATGAATAATCTTCGTCAAGGAGAAAAGAGTGATGTGGAGTATAACGATGAATTTTATGAGTTGCTAGTTCGTAGTGACGTGGTTGAAAGAGAATAACAGTCCCTAGCTCACAATGCTGGTGGGATGAGAACATCTATACAAGATGCGGTGGTTTTACAACTGTATTGGAACTTAGATGAGGCTTACAACCTCCGAGTTAAGGTTAAAAGTTAGCAGAGGTGTCCATCAAATTGGGCTGCTTGCCAGGATAGCTCATGTGCCCGTAGAAGTGAATGGAAGGGAAAAGTTCGAAATTTAGTGGTTGGACAGCCCTCAAGATATGCTGGTCCATCCAAATAGCGTGAAACCACGGGTGTTGGGGCCAGTCCTAGTCACCCAAATCTCTTAAACATAAGCGTCATAAAGTGCTTTAAGTGTTCAAGGTTTGGCCGTGTCTCTTCTCAATGCCCAAATAGAAATTTTATGCTTGTTCTCCTCGGAGCAACACATGCCTTTTGATATCCAAAATGTGCCGTTTCAAAGCCTCTCCCTGAACTCTGCTGAAAACCTTGAGTGACCGTTCACCATCGAAGAAATTAAGGGTGATGTCTTTGACCTTCCAAGAGACAAAGCCCTGGGCCCTTATGGGTTCCCTCTAGCCTTCTTTCAAGAGTTTCGGGATTTAGTTAAGCTAGACATTATGGCTTGGCTACGTCAATTTTATCTGAATGGCTATGTCAGTAATGCCATTAACTCCTCCATCTCGCTTATACCCAAAAAGGCCATCATTCTGTCCCTCCAAGACATTTGTCGTATCAGTCTTTTGTCGGGACTATACAAAATCTTGGCAAAAGTTCTAGCTAATATATTACGTTTGGTTCTTAACGAGGTTGTGGGAGGCCCTCATACAGCTTTCATTAAAGATAGATTTATCATGGATGGAATTCTGCCGGCTCAAGAAACAATCCACTCGACCCAATCTTCAGGATCCAAAGGACAACTCCTCAAACTTGATTTTGAAAAAGCCTATGACAGGTGGAGTGGGATTTTCTCGACAGTGTTATCGTGAGGATGGGCTTTGGACCTATTTGGCGTAAATCGATCTTTGGGTGCCTCTCCACTGCCCATTTCTCTGTTTTAGTTAATGGCAAAGCTACTGGGCACTTTCAGGCATCTAGAGGCCTATGTCAAGGTGACACTCTCTCGCCCTTCCTCTTCACCTTAGTGGCAGAAGCCTTTAGCAAAATGCTACAAGGTATTGTGGATTGTGGTCTTATCCAGGGTCTTCCAGCATGGCTAGATGGAATTATAATCAGTCATTTGCAGTATGCTGACGACACGTTGATCCTACTAAAGGGTTATGAGGATAATATCCATAACATTTAGATGTTCTTAAAGCTCTACAAACTTATCTCAAGAGCTATAATTAATATGAACAAGTCCAAATTAAGCAGCATTAACTGCCACCAGTTTGCGCTGGCAACTTGGTTGTCGTGAATAGGTTGTGAAGTCGAAT